TAATTGTAAACACGCAAAGAGAGGCTTACGTAAGAACTTCAGATTCGAGATTGTATAATTTACGCCCACTTCCCTCCGGCAGACAGGCCAAAAATAGGAGAATTTTAATCAGCCAAACATTTTGACGCCAAAATATTGATTAATACCGTTCGATTGGGGTCCCATAAATTCATAAAGAAAACAAAAAGAAAGAGACAACAGCATGACCAAAATTTTGCCCCAATGCCTGTCAATCGAAGCGTCATCGGAAAAATGGTGAGTGTGATAACAATAAAAACTAATTTTGGAAGCCAAATATGACAGGGTAAAAGAGTAAAAGATACGCAGGATACGCAGATTTCAGCAGGTCCATTGTATACCTGTCTTTTATGAAGTATAAATAGCGGACCAGAGGACTCAGCCCCACTGACAAAAGCTTGAGAGTTCTCTTTGTACCACTGTAAGCCCACTTCATGTGTCAAGTTTCAAGTTCCCCATTAACCCTATGTTTTAAGTCGGCGGAAAAAGAAGGTTTCTTGCAATGAAATGTTTAGAAATTCCTGGAAGTATTTTTTCAACACTTTAAAAACAGTTTTATATACTTGTAATACTAATTGTACAACTTGTGTATTTTGAAATGTTTAGAATTTCCTGGTAGGATTTTTTCAACACTTTAAAAACAGTTTTATATACTTATTATATATTATTGTAAAACTTGTGTAGGATTTTTTTCAACACTTTAAAAACAGTTTATAATATACTAATTATACTAAATATACTCAAAAATTTCTTGTATCAAGAAAGAACCCTTATTTCGGGCTGAAATATTGTTCAAAACCTAAAGTTTAAAGGTTTCTTAAAAAGAAATGTTAAGTCTATCCTGGTAAAAGATTTTTCAACACATTAAAAACCTTTTATATTACCTTTTACACAACTATATATTTTTATATATTTTTAAAGCAGAGTTCCCCATGATCGAAATGAAAACATAATCGAAAACCCTAAAATATCTTTCTACCATCACCCAGTGGGTTAAAGATAATTATTCTTTGCATATGTCTAGCCTGACTTTGTTATTACTATTTCTGCTACCGTTTTGACTACTTTGTATGATTTTTTCAGCACTCCGTCGGCTCCCGACTCCAAACAACCCGACTTGCCTCCTCATTTCAGCACTCCACTTTTATAGCTACTGTATTTTTTACGGCTAATGGGCAGTAACTGTAGATCTGACAGCGAAATTGGCGTGCAAATTGAAATAGAAAAACGAAAAAAAAAAGAAACCAGAATTGAATCGACTTCAATGAAATTTTAGGTGAAGCCTCGACATTGTATAGAGTTTATGGCCTGATTATGGAATAGGCGTATACGAAAAAAAAGAAAAAAGAACATCTACTAGAACAACAGCTTATTGATTTGCACAGCTGGGCATAGCAAAAAAAAATTTTATTAAAAAGGGGAACACGGAGGTGTAGAAATTTTCCACAAGACTTATTTTACGCCAGGGGAAATGAAATGGACATTTTGAGGAATTGAAACGAAATTGGAAAACGCTTTCAGGTGGCTGAAGTGCAAGGGGATAGGCAGTTAGTTCGATTTATGCTTTATTGAAGCCAATTTGTTGTTTGCCTTTTTTTTCGAGTCAGTAATTGAACATCGTAAATTGCCAACGCCAATTTTTATCTCCCGGTTTTTTGTTTCTTATTGATTTTACAATTTTAGCAAATAGTCATGGGAAAGAATACACAAGTCATTGTTGGATGGAAACTTTTAACTCGCAGATCAGTTGATGGACAGGCCACATATATATATGTAGGCTGCTGTTATATAAATGTTTGACAATTTAACACATCACATTGCCAGCAATGAAAGTAACAAGTAACAAATGAAACCGATTTAATCGACAGTCATTTTATATAAAAAATTGCAAAAATATTCAAGGAATGCGGCTAAGCCAAAAGCAGTCAAACAACAATAATAAAAAAAAAAAGAAACAAAGACGTTGACTTCGACACATGCACAGAAAACAATTTGATATACATTTGTGGTTAACCACAATGTGGCTATAAATATCATTTCATTATTATTTATATTGTGTTTTAAAGGAATTTATTACTAGCCAAACTTTTTGTAAATTAAAGCTATATATTATAAAAATTATAAATTATATCTTGTAATCATTTTGGCTTAAAAAATATTTTTTAAAATTTATTTAATAACTAAACCTGTTGTTAGGGACATGCAGATATAATATACAAAGTGACATAAAAATCCATAACAATTTTCTTGACACTCCATGCGAAACTGTCAATTTAATATCATATCAATCAAGATCAAAATCATAAATGAGTCAGAAAATTAAACTCAAAAAACCTCAGCCTGTCAATTTAAGATTTATATTTAAATTTCTTGCTGTGCAGCGACTGACGAACACCTGTTTATACGTACAACCTCCTCACATAACTAAAGTGAATCATCGACTCTGGTTTGACACACTGAATTGGCCCACACTCCATCTCCTATCTGGTTTTTATATTATTTTACCAGACACGTGCCCCCAAAGGCAGACGCATTAAAAACCCATTTCAATTCTCCACTTGAACTTGAAATCTTCAGAAGAAACTGAGGCAGAGACAAAGGCAAATGCAAAGCATTTTAATTGCATCTTTAAACGCCAATAATGTGAGAAGCTCCCCCAAAACTTAGCTAACTTTGCTAAAAATAGACAACGAGCTCACTCTGTGGCTCTTTTTTATATTTTATTATTGCTTTCCTCGGCATTTCTCTCGGCTTGAATTAAGTTTGCTTTGATTGATGATGCCCGATTATGAGTCACTCAACTCGAAATATATTATAGAGAAATAAAGAAAAACTAAGCTGCGGCGGTGAGATTTGCCCAGTGGGTAAGTGGGTTAAGTTGGCAATTGATGATTTGTATTGACATGTCACGGTAATCGGATATGGAGCAGAAATTATTGCGACTATGACTTGTTGAATGCCATAAAATGCGACTAATAAAATGTGGCAAATAAAAGGAATAATATAAATACGCACAATAAATAAAGGACCATAAATCAAACTTTTCCAATTGATAAACAAATCGATATACATTTTAATTTTTACTCATTTAAAAGGGTCATAAATAAAATATGCATGGCAATTAAAGCAAGTGTTTGGGCAAAAAGATTATTATTATAAATTCTGAATTTTCAGATTATAAAAGAAACATAATATTGATTTATTTTGGGTTCAGATAAGGGGACTTCTCTTTAAATGTTATTAATTTGAACAACTGTTCATAAAGCCTAAGATAAATATTTTTCTTAAATTCAGATTTTACAAAATAAACTTAAAATTGATTTATTTTGGTTTCAGATAATGAGACTTATCTTTGGGTATTATTTATGTGAACATGTGTTCAATCCAATTTTGAAAACTGAAAAATTCAAAACTTACAATATAAACCTAAAATAGATTTATGATGGGTTCAGATAAATGGACTTATCTTTGAGTATTCATTATTTTAACATCTGGTTAAAAATTTTAGGGTTAGTCAGAGTTTTTTAAACTTCAACGCCAATGCAGTTAAACTTCCCCTCGTTTTTTTTCAAAATTTGTTTTTTACACTTCAATGCAGAACGGAAATGTGATTTTTTTCCATCGTTTTTCGCTTCCCATTTTCCATTTCTGTTTTCCCAACGACGACGGGCCCCAAAATGGTTCACTGCACTTGACTCTGCGATTGTGGGCGGATGGTCGGGAAATCGGGGAGGGGCTGCGTTTGGCAGGGGAACGGGGATTGGGTTTGTCAACGCTTTTATCTGATGCCCAAAGCGAAACAATATGCTCAACGCGAGGGGCGAGATATGGCAGAGGGTACAGCTTTAATTCTTCTTTTGTGGGGACCGCACACACTCACATCAGGTGTGACATATAGTATGGCAGGGGATGGGGAATTTCGAGGGTGCGGTTATAAGGGTGTAGCTTCAATGGAATGTCGCTCAACTTTAAAATTGCACAACTTCAAAAATCAAATAAGAGTTTAATGGGGAAGTTTGTACACATTTTTTAGGAATAAAACTCATAATTATATGTTTTATTTCCAGATTTAAAATGCTCCCTTTTTTAAAGGGAGAAATAACTCAGGGACTTTGTAAATACAATATTCGGAATCTGCGTGTTAAATTTGTAATTTACCATGAAAGCAAATATATTTACATAAATTGTTACGCTTAAACGGTAAGAATTTTAAAATAAGGAAACTACGTGCTAACGACTTGGCTGGTAAAAATATATTAACATATTCTTTTTATAGGTTTTACACCAAAATTCTACAGATTATTGAAATTTATCATGTATTGGAAGATTTCCTTAAAATAAACTTGGTTATATCTTTATTCTGAAGTTCTCATCTGAGTTGAAAATGTTCTTGAAAATAAAAGAGCATTTTTAAAGTTGAAAATATTTTCATCTTGCTCAAATCAAGTTGAATTGGCGGTATTTACATTGTATATCTCAACAAATAAACTATTCAAGTTGTTATATAAACTCAATTTAACTTTTCTCTTTTCACCATTTCGTTCTAGTATTAAGAACATTGACACGAAAATGCACTTAGACGGTTTTTAAGAACGAATGTTCTCAATTCAAGAACAATGTACTTCAATAATTCTCTCTGTGTATATATAAATTATATTAACAGTTTTATCAAAATGTTTATTCTCATTGGCAGATTTTTCAAGTATTTTAAAAACCAGCTCGTTAAATCTTTAAATATTTTAAGTCCATTTATATAGGTTTATACCAAAAAATATATATACCCCATATTACTGCTAAATATTTACTAAATCAGTTCATTCGACAAGTGATTTTCAAAATAAAGACCAATAATTTAACCCATATTGAATGTGTATACAAGAATTTCAAAGATGATCCCAACATTTCAGATGTGATAAAGTAAACCATACTTTATTCTAACTTTCTAATGATAGCCCCCCGAAAACCTTTGATCTGAAACTCACCGCACTGCCCCCCGTTGAGGGCTAGACCATCCTTGACAGCCTGCTGTTGCTGTTGGGCGTTGCCGCTGTGCAGTATATCCGATAAGGATAACGACGAGGCAATCAGTTGGCGCTTCTCCTCAAAGTTGAGGAAATCCATCGAATTGCTGCGTTGCGGCGTGACAGTTATAGTCACCGATTTCTGCATTTTGGCAACCACACAGAGCTGTTGCTCCAGTTCCGATGGGCCAGTTGACTGGGCGTTTGGCGAGTCAGGGGGCGTGGCAGCCTGGGCGGAGGGATGATCGATGCCATCGGTGAGATCAGGCGGTGGAAGTTGCTGCTGCTGTTGCAACTGCAATTGTTGCTGCTGCTGCTGTTGCTGTTGCTGCTGGTAATTGTGGTTTAATTGCATCTGATGTTGCTGATGCTGTCCGTAGTAACTAAAGGCGGACTGGGCTGTGGCCGCAGAGTACGAGGGTGGACCCAAGGGCGAATGAGGTGGGGCATGGGCCACCCTAGAGGCGGCGGCCGGTGACAATTGATAGCCACCACTGACGGGGGAATTCTGGCCATCATGACCATTGATGGCCGCCACCAAGGTGGCCAGATTATTTCGACTGGTATTGCCCCGCTGCTGCGCCTGGAATTTGTGTTGCTGCTGCAACTGTTGCAGCAATTGTTGCTGCTGTTGCTGGTACGCCATTGGCGGATGTTGCTGCGGTGCGTTGGTGTTGCTGTTGCCGTTGCCGCTGCTGCTGTTGCTGCTGCCGTTGCTGTTGCTGCTAGCCGTCGACTGTTGGCTCTGCAACTTGTTGCTCCGCAGCGACATGGTGTTCGTCGAGTGTTGTAGACACTTACTCCTCCATTGTCACGTGACTTTGGCTGTTCGGCTAATTGGCGGTTAACACGCCCGTGTGCGTGGCTTTTCCTGGATTTTCACCCTCACTTCACTTTTCTTGTGTCACTTTTTCAAGGGTTTCACTTTTGTTTTTGGCGCCTTAATTGCTGCAATTAAAATGTGGTTGGTTGGTTGTTGTTGGCATGTTGCATGTTGCCCGCGTGTTCTGGGGCAGCAGGCAACAGAAACCACAGTTTAACTAGACACTTGTCACATCATATTTACAGACATTCTTGATATCATATTTTTAATTAGCACTTTTGGCAAGAGGCAGCAAAAATTACAGCTTCATCTCCTCACACTTTTTATTTTAAGGAAGATTTTTTTGATTTTTCATATTTTTTAATATCTGATTAGCACTAAAATATATATTTGTATATACTTTTTCATTACCCTATAGTTTTCAGATCATTTAAATGATAAATACCTAACTTTATATCGATTCTGTATATGTTTTACGAGTTTTTATACCCGTTACTCGTAGAGTAAAAGGGTATACTAGATTCGTCGGAAAGTATGTAACAGGCAGAAGGAAGCGTTTCCGACCCCATAAAGTATATATATTCTTGATCAGGATCACTAGCCGAGTCGATCTAGCCATGTCCGTCTGTCCGTCTGTCCGTCTGTCCGTCTGTCCGTCTGTCTGTCCGGATGAACGCTGAGATCTCGGAAACTATGAGAGCTAGGCTATTGAGATTTGGCGTACAGATTCCTGAGCTTCTTACGCAGCGCAAGTTTGTTTCAGTAGACTGCCACGCCCACTCTAACGCCCACAAACCACCCAAAACTGTGGCTCCTACAGTTTTGATGCTAGATAGAAAATTTTAACTGAAATGTAATGTTCTCATCAATACCTATCGATTGACCCAAAAAAAAGTTTGCCACGCCCACTTTAACGCCCACTTTAACGCCCACAAACCGCGAAAACCTGTGACGCCCACAATTTTCATGCTAGATAAAAAATTTTAACTGAAATGTATTGGTCTCGTCAATACCTATCGATTGATCCAAAAAAAAATTTGCCACGCCCACTCTAACGCCCATAACGCTTAAATCTGTATACCGCCGGTAGGTGGCGCATTTTAATCTCGCTTTGCTGCTTGCATATCTCCATATAGCTGAGTAACGGGTATCTTATAGTCGAGGTACTCGACTATAGCGTTCTTCCTTGTTATATATTACAATCCTCACATCAACTGTTATTAACGAAAAACTCAAACTTATTGTTGATTCACTAGTCCACATTCAGCATCACTTGGCCACAATTTGGGCAGTGATAAAATAACACAATCAACAACAATATTTCCCACATGGTTTTCCCCTTTTCGAGAAAATTAACTGAAAATGCAGCCAGCAGCATCTTCCACAAATGCCACAAAAGCCGCAGTAAAAACACACAGAAACCAACCACTTGTCGTTGTCATCATCAAAAACGCTGCAATTGCCGACAGCTGGTGAAGATTTTCTATGCCAAAAGGATGGGGGAAAATCTGGGGTGGAGAATATAAAGTGAGTAGCACACTGATGGAGTAGAGATGGAAATCCATCCAAGGAAATGGAGCATCGTCATGTGCACTGCACCACTGCACCACTTGAACTGAAACAAAAGGAGCCAAATGCGAGCTGAAGGGAAAAAAGGAAAAGGGCTCCAAAGGATTTCTGGAGAATGGCCAAAGGCAACAAAGGATGCGTCCAAGGACGAGGGATTTGGGGGGGGGAGGGCTCTTCAAATTGAAGTGTCCATGGGGAAATCGAGTGTAACCAAGCCAAGAGGGTTAAGGAAAAGGGGTTAAACACACGAGGGGCGGCTACGTTCCGAGCCAATTTCCAGCTCTTTAAGATAAGCGAAAGGGGTTAAATTGTTGCGATAATGCTAAATTTTCCAGGAAAGTATTTAAAAACGTGTAAAGGGTCTTCAAAATATAATGTAAAAAAACCTTGGACATTTTTTTTAAAAAAGTTATTGCCCCGCTAATAATATGAGAAGACGAATGTGAAGAAAATAAATATTGCTTTTATACAGAAATTATTTTAACATTTTCCATTTTTTGTAAAGAACATATTTTTAATTTATTCAAAAGATTTACTAACTAATAATAAAAAAATAAATAAATAAAAAAATACATTTTCAACTCAAATGAATCTGGATAAGTAATATAAATTATTGCCCAATCAAAAAAGACTTAAATAAAAATATTACCCCATAATTACCAAAGAATTCAGGTATTAACTAGAGTTAAATAGAGATAATCCCCTATTATATTTGAGTCTCTTAGGAAAGACGTTATTCATCCATATGCTTTGTGAAAAAGTAGTAAAATAAATCCTATTTAGGGAATCCAAAGAAAAAGAACAAAAGCCACACCGCAAAACAAAGTGTGAAATTGCATTTAAGTCCCAATGGTGAAACAAATCCTTTTTACAGACCAGACAAACTGAAACCCAAACTCAAATGGAAAGCCAAAAAGTTTTACCCACAGAATTTAAAATCTCGTCTCCCCGCATTTCCCCCACCCCCTCGAAAAACTCATGGGAAGGTCAAAGGGCAACGAGTTGAGTCAGCTCGAGTTGGTGAAAATCTTATTAGAATGCGTATTGGGAACGCAGGTAGAAAACTTCGTTCAGCGGAAAGGTTCAGACAAAAGATATAGCAGGAAAAAAGGGAGAAAAGGGAAAACAGGAGACACGCAAAGTGCACAGGTAAGCGGAATTACGGCGAGATGATGATGATGACAGGATACACAAAAAAGGGAACCGTCGAGAACTCGAAGAAAAAATAATAAACCAACCTTGCACGACAGCTGGAACTTGAAGATATAAAGGGATTCCAGAGGAATACGCGTACGTAGGGAATATAAAAGGCAGCCCAGAGCAGAAGATTATAACTGCGGCGAATTAAAATTCAAGGTGCGTTCTTCCCTTAATTCGACTCGTTCTGCTTTTTGTTGAACTTGGTTTCGCTTTTTCTTGATCTTTGAATGCCCACAAACCTTATAAAATATTTAAGGATTTTTTAGGAAAATGTTTGATACATTAGCTATTACGATTTATTTTCCATTTTAATTTTAAACACGTTTAACCGTATTAAAGGATATTTTAGGAAAATCTTTGAAACATTATCTATAAAGATTTATTTACCATTTGAATTTTGAACTCGTTTACTTTGGATACTTTTTCTAATCTAATTGTCTTTTTAAATATTAAATATATAATCTTTCTGATTTTTAATTATCATCGGACTTGAGAGTTTTTCTTTAAATAAATATTTTTAGTTTGAATGGCTTTTAAGCCTCCTTTTCCGACCGCCCATTAAAAAGGTTTTTTCATCTATATTTTTTTTTTAATTTCTTGCTTGGTTTGCTGGCCCACAAAAGTCGATAAAAAAAAGTAGAGAATTGGTAACCAGAACAGCGCTGGGCGAAATCTTGGCTAAGAGTAACAGTAACTAGGCTTTTGTGGTCTGCTGTCCGATGTTTTGTGGTTGTTTGAGTTGCCTGTTCCAGTGCACTGACTTTTGGCTCGTTAGCTTCGATTCTGTTTTCAGTCGGCAGTTAGTTAACTTTTTATTTTTTTATTCAGTTTTGTGGATTTGGCGCGCGACTCACATTAAAAAGGCGGCCAGGCGAGAATTGAAGAGAGCTCAGGAAGTGCAGGGGAATACGGGGGTAAGGGTTTTTGAATGTGGAACATTTGTTGCTAAAGGCGATAAAAAAAAAATTACACAAAAAAATTGAGGCATTAAAAACAACTAGCTTTCATTTTCAGAACAAAATTATATTTCAATATTTTGACCATTTGTAGAACAACATTATGTTAGAATTATTTAATAGTTAATAAAATCATAAAATATAAACTAAAGATTTTACAACACTATAAGCAAAAATAAATTAATGTCACGAAATCCATAAAATCCTTTAGAAGTGTATTTATTATATCGCCCCAGTAACAATTACTATATAAAACATTTTTTTTTATGTCGACAACATTTGTTTTAATGAACGTCCATTGAAACGGGGTGCGAAAGAGACGGCGCCAAAAGAAAGAGAGGCGATTAAATTAGCGAATGCGTCGAGTGCAGGGGCGGCGAAAAAGGGGGGCTCAAGGGGATGTTGGGTAGGGTGCCACATATTGCATATTGCACATTGCACATGTGGAACGAAGCGGGCAACTTGCAACGTCAGCAGGCGCATATTAAAAAAAATATATGAGGAAAAAAAGCTGCAACAAAGAGTGGCTATCCCCCTCTCGTTCGCTCACAGTCGCCATCTCTGTCTCACTCGCCTTGTGGCAAGTTCATTGAACCTCATTTACAGTTCAGTAGTTTAGCGATTTTATTCTCATGGGAAAGAGACGGCAGCAGTGGGCGTTAGACAGAGACGGACAGACTGAGAGGGAGGCCCGACTTTTATTTTTTGGGGCAACTCGGGCTTTGCAAAAAAGTAAACCCAACACAGTCTAAAGTCTACAAGAAACAACCATTTGAAAAGCACATGTTTTGTTTAACTATTCAAAATACAAGACCCATTTAAGACTTATTTAATATTTATATTCTTTAATATATCCTAAATAAAGTTTAAAAAAATGCCTTTAAAATTTAGTATCTTAAACAGATCAACAAAGATTACTTTTACGTTTTGATAAATGTAAAAAAAGTTATTCTTTACAAAAAAAAAACAAATTATGGTAAAATCTTTTTTTTTTCTAGTACTAAATGTAGTTCAAGTGATGGGAATATCCGGTTTAGGGAATTTCGCCTGTAAAAACCAAACAATGGACAGCAAAAAAAATCCAAATAAATGTGAGACAAGAAAGGAAAGCGTTGGGAACAAGATAGTAACAAAAACTAATGCGATTTGCGGCAGCTACATCAGCAAAACGAAAAAAAAACCTCCGAGATTCATGGATTTTTCGTTTTTCATTTGAGAGGCGCCGCCAGCCAAAAGCAATCAAATCCAATTAAGAGCAGGAAAAAAAGCCAGAAAAAATACAGATAAAAACGATGGAAGCAGAACTTCTTTTTTCGACTGAAAATATTGTTTCTGTAAAAGCACCAACGTAAAAAATAAAACAAAAGTAAACTAATAACAACTTCCAGCACACGCGACTTTATACAACAAATTTGCCAAACTCCATAAGGAAAATTATAGGAAAAGAGGAAAAGGGGCAGAGGTAGAGGAAAAACGGAGGCAGCAACAAACAGAAAAGGCAACAAAAATCGAAACAGCAGCAATGGCAAAACCAACAACAATCAACTCTTTTGACCAGCTGTCGCACAGTGGGCTGCACAGTGGGCAATTAGGGGCGGATTAAACATTTGGTTTACAATAGCCAGTGCTGGAATTACTCTGAATAAAGAAAGTGACTTTTTAATGCTAAGAAACTAATCCAGTTAAAAGTATTCTGCATTTCATTCGGAAGATATTAGAAGTATTTTGGTCAAAAGATTTAAACAGCTGATTTCGGGCGCAGTGTGACCATCTACCTGATGAATAAACATTGAAAAAAACAAATTTTTCTAAGCTATAGCTAACAATTGTATTTTTTAAAATGTGTAAGTATGGAAAATACACTATTCTATAAAGTCAACTTATGTTTTATATTACTTTCTTATTTTATTTTATTAAAAAATTAACATCGTATTTTTTAACGGAATTTAAACCCATCCCACTGTGCCCATGCAGCACAATCCATAAGTACAAGTGTTCGGGGTTGCTGCTAATGGAACACAATTCACAATTCACTGGGAGCTCGCTATCTCTTTCTGCGCCCCTCTCTTTCGCCCCTCAGCCCATCTCCATCTCTTTCTGTCGTTGCAACAACGACAATGGCAACAACAAAAGCAAAACACCGGCAGACAGCAAAAACCAATGGACAAATACAAAAACAAAACGGTGGGCAAGAGTCGTCATCCTCAGTTGTTTTTGCTGTTTTGGTAAAACTTCTACTCCCCGGAGATGGGAAAGAGATGGGTATATAGGAGTGAGAAAGAGAGGGGGAGAAGTTGCCGTTGCCGGCAGTTAGTGCGTTCGCATAAATTTAAATTTGCGCGCAAACGGCGCCCACAAAGCCGAACAAAAAAATGTAAAGCAACTACAGTGTATATCCTATCAAAGAAACTTTTCTGTAACTAATAAAATCAAATCATTTTTCAAATAAAATATAGAAATTTGTAGTTTTAGTTGGTAAGCATGGTCACACTGCTCGTTTTGAAAGAAACAGCTGAGGAACAGCTGATGCAAAGATCAAAACGAAGCTACGGCAAAATAATCTGTCATTAACTAATTATTAAGAGTAAGTAAAACAAAGTTTACAGGAAAATAAAGCTACTCATAATATCTACTGCTAATCTAACCAAATCTTCCTTTAATTCTTCAATCATTTCAAGGGATCGAGTTTCGTAAGTAAAGTTAATAATAGTTTTTTACCCCACACATTAAAATTCAATAAAAGAAGCTCCACTGTTTGAAAACAACAGGGAAAGGCAATAAAAGGGAAGCAAGAGAATGCGTTTTTTGGGGGTTGCTGGATGCTGCAAAGGGGGTGTTCCAGAAAAAGCGGGTGGGACTATATATATGAGTGGGGGGGGGGGGGTCGAAAGTCGGAGCAAAGTGGAGTAAACTGAAGTCTGGAGCACAACAAAAAGTAGTAAAGGCGGCAGAAGAAGAAAAGCCTAGGAGAGGGTGCCAAAATCCCGCAGTATACACACCACTACCAGACTTTTCCTATACACATAAAAATGGGTGGGAAAAAAAGAAGAAAAGCAAAGGAATCTGTCTAGACAACATTGTAAGTAGAGGAAAATACTTGGTTGGAAAAATCACCCAAGGAAATAATGAAATATGTAATTTCCTAACCACCAACTACCCGTCTCTTTCTGCTCTTCTATTACTATCTCTTTCCGGGCAGGTACTACCAATTTTTGATAAGGAAGCAATTGTAGCACATTTCTCTGTTATTTTTTCAATTGCACCATCATTATAATCGTGTTACGGATAAGATAACACACGATAGCGCTATATTTTTTCACATTTTTCCAGTTTTCATGTGTAAATTCCATTTAGCGAACAAGCGTGCTGCGGAAATTTAATTTATTTATGCATTTTTAACATATTTATGAATATAAACAAAAAGCAGCTGCCAGAAATTATTGTAAAGCTCGTTTTTGTTTACTCAAATGGTTGAAAGAAAAAAAAGAGAGTGTGAGATGAGTAACTGTTTATTTTTTGCCCGGTTTATTGTTATTTTCTGTTTATGCTATTTTTATGGCCCCTCATTCAGATTTTTTTTTACATTCTTTTGTGTTATTGATTTCACTTTTTTACGAGGCATTTCTGGATGGTTTTCAAACAGTGAACAAGTGTTCAATTAAAAAGTTTAACAATAAATATTAAATCGTATTATGAGCACTATATTTAAATGATCTGAACATCTGGGGGAGTTTTTATTGGAAATATAATAATTGGATTAACCACTATAAAAAGTTTTCCAAATAACATGTAAAATGTTTTGAAAAAGTTTCCTTTTTTTAGTAGTTTAAACATTTTACTTCTAGTTTTAAGCACTTTTATTTTTATTCGGTTAGTTTTGATATAGAAACCATTTTTGAAAATCTCCAGATACATTTTTTCTTATGGAGCCTTCACTGTGATCAAATTCGTATAAAAATATTTTTTCTTTGCACTTTGTGGTTTTTTTTGTTTTGTAACACCTGTCGCAGCTGATTTTTCATTCACAATATTTATTTATCTGTGTTTATTTTTTTAGCTGCATATCGCGTGGTGAAATTCCTATAGAAAATCCATTTAAATAACCAAAGGAATTTTAGTTTAAGTTTCTCAGAGAGAATTCGATTGCTTGGTGGTGTGCGTGTGTTTTGTGTGTGAAGAGAGAAGTTGTAAAACCGGATTTTCCTTTTGGGCGCTTTCGTAGTTTTTGTTGCCTTTTGCACTTTGTCTCGATCTTCGATTTTTAATGCCCATTTGTATTTAATTTTGGGATCTTAAAATGTTAGATCAATTTTCATTTTCTTTTTTGCTTTTTATTTTCTTTTCATTTTGTTTACTTTGCTTTTTGTTTTTCTTTTTCTTTAGTTTGCACTCACACTTGTTGATTATTTAATATATATTATACTTTTATTGCCTTTACTTGCGTTTTTGCTTACTTTTCTTTTATTTTTAGCTATTTACTAATAATTTATTCAAATCAAACTGACACACGCACACTGAGGCACGTACTCACACGTACAAGCACGCACACATACAGAAACGACAAGCGACGCGCCGAAAAAGACAACAAAAACAACGAAAAAGGCGGCGAAAAAAGAAAAATTATCTTTTTCTTTTCACCGTGAAATTAAACTAAAGTCGAATTTAGTTAATGAATTTTAACAAAGCGACCGACGACGGTTTGCCCTCGGCGTCGAATTTTCGAACAACTAAATTACAATTTATCCGCGATTTCGTCTGCGTTCGAAAAAAATTTTTTGTTTATGTTGTGTGGCCAGTTTTGATGGGGGTGATTATACCTCATTTTTAAGTTTGCTCTTGGCCAGTATTTTTCCTGGGCCCTGCTGCGGTCACACCGAAAATTTTCGGCAACGTAAAACGTAAGCAAACGTAAGTAAAAGTATTCGCTGCGCCCGCTTTTGCTATGGCGGCGAATTCAACAAACAAGTATTTCAACTTGGCGAATTCGTAATTCGACGTAAAAGTCACGTAAGCGCTTTCATTTACTTAATTTTTGTTTATATGGTGCGGATTCTTATAATCGCTTTTTGCTGTATTTTTCGTGGTGTCGTTCTGCGGTCACACCGCACCGCTCTCTTTTTTCTCTCTTTAACAGCTGCTTTTTTAAATTTGAATTTTTTGTAACGTAAATGTTAATACTTTACGATTTATCACACAGATAAACATAAATTATATATTTTTAAAGAAATGTGACTATAAATGAGAGTTAAGATCGGATTTCGCATACATAATTTACTTGAGGATTACATATTTAGAATTACGATTTGTTTCATTTTTGAATATAGCTAGTTTTTTAACAGCAAAAATTTTAAAATCTGAATAAACCAAATTCAGAGTAAAAGAAACATATTCGTAGTAATAGCATAAGAAAAGAGCGTGGTTGAGAATTAAAAAAAATTTGGCGCCAATAATTTTTGTACTATATATTTGGTTATTTTTAAATAACTAATTCTTAGTTTCTTTGTGAATAGTCTTGTAATACTAAATTTATTCAGCGTTGTCAGGGGATGGAAAAATATGTAAATGTTTATTTATAATATTTTAATAATTTTATATTTTATCTTTAACGACAAATTAAAAAAAATGAAACGCTTTAATTTTTTTAATTTATGAAAAATAATTTTTTTGAAATACTACAAATATTTTTCTTTTAAAAATTTTTTACCTATTTTTTAACTACTCCCAAGATTATATTAAAAACTAGATTCAGTGCACCATGTGTAAATTTCTAGTAAGTACACACAAATGTGCATATAGAAACCGGGTAAATATTTACAATGAAATTAACTTGGTCTGCGGCCATTTCACATTCACCGCAGTTAATTATGGGAACTCGAGTTGAATTAGTTTTGCCTATTGATTTGCAATTCACACCCACAGAATCCACCACCCCATGATAATTGCCAATTTGAATGGAAAACAAGAATGGGCGAACAAAGGAGTCTGGGAAATGTCGGGAAAACTATTGAAAACCAATTTGCATTCCGCACCAGAAATATCCAAATATACTAATTCCCCTTTTGAAAAACTTAAATATCTCCAAGACCAATGAAGCAATCGGCAAATGAAATACTTTTCTGGGATGTGGATATGCTAAAGAAAAACAAGAACCGCACTTCAAAAGCAATTTCACCTTGTTTTCCCAAAAAACACACAAAACAACAAAAATAGTGGATAAACAATGGCGCGAGGCAAATCTCTTTTTGGCCATATATAACTTTTCGGTAAGGAATTTCCCAAACTGCTCTTCAAGAATTTTCACGAGTGGTGGCGTCTCCTATTTTTAGGCCCACTACAAAAACAACATACAGTGGGCATTCGAAAAGTAAACATACAGGATTTCTAATTTTAAATAAAGTTGTGTCAGAAAAATAGAACTTTGATTTTTTCTAAATATTTTATTTTCTTATTCAGCATGGTTTTTTTTTGTTATAAAGATTTATTGTAAAATATAATATCCCTATAAAAACAAAAACCAGTTAAAGAAAAATGTTTAAAATGTTTTGGAATTCACTTTAAATCATTCATTAAAATCACTAATATTTATTTGTATAATAGTTCTTGTTAGTTTTATTTAGTTTACACTGTACACAGCATAAAAAACAACCACTAAAAAGAACTAATTTATTTCTGTTTTAAATTGAAACTACACAAGTAAATATACATATCCATGTGTACATATTTACAAACAGATTTTATACATAGTAAATACTATAGAGTATATATAACAGGAAACGGAAGCATCATTCGCTCTAGTTTGAATGTTTTATATGAGAGATAAGGGAGAATAACAGGAAAAATTAAACGGAAAGGGGGAAAATGAGGAAAAAACAGAAGAAAACTCAGCGCAGGAATTTTGTTGTTGCTCCAAAAATGCCGGCAAATGAAAAGCGCAGGTCCAAATGAAAAACAGAAAGGAAAAACCAAAGAGAGACAGTTTTCAGAGAGAGAGCAAAACAAAAACAGTTTGAAAACGACTGGAGGTTTGCGAAGCACTGTTTGGGCTATTTTTATCGCATGCGAGAAAATTCTCATGGGCTTGTGGTGACTTCAAAACTATCAGCAGAAAAAGTCAATTTAAATACAATAAATAAAACACAAAAAAATTTGAATAAAATTGTTATAATCAAATTCACCTAAGTACTTTGTTCATACATTTAATTATACGCGCATTCTTTTTATATGCAATTAGGGGTATTTCAATTAAAACTAAGACTATGAAAAAAAACCAAATATAATAAAAATATTATTTGTTTAGAGAAAAGCATCTGAAAAGTTATTTTTAAAAATTTCATTTGGTATTTTAATGATTACCAAACTTGCATAAATCCTTTGTTTTTAGGGATGAAAGATAAAGTGGATGAAAACCAATAATATTTTATTTTTCTATACAAGTTTATTCTTGTTTTTTGATTCTAACTAATTCTGAATAACGCATTTTCTGAAAACTGGAGTTTAAAACAAAAACATCTAAAGATAGCTAGAGCTTAGTTTCGATTTTGTTGCGCGAAAAATAGTGATGCACTGATTAAATCAGCGAACAGTTCAGCGTTTTATTCAAACGTCAAGGAAAGTTTCGCATCCCCAGAAGATTCCACTTCGTTCCGAGCGAACAATTCGTCTTCAATGTCAGTTTCCCCAACTTCTTCACCCCACTTTCCTATATTTTCCCCAGCCCCTTCCGCATTTTCACACAACCGTCTTATCCTTCAGCAAAATTAACTTGAGAAGCTTGATAAAAGGGCTGCCATTCATTCATTCAGCAGCTTTGCCGAAAACTGTTCTCAATGCCAAAAGCTGCCAACTTAATTTATATTGTATTTAAAATGCAAAATGCACAACATTCAACAATAGGCGAAAGCAAAGAAAGTGGGCGAGTGTGGGAAAGTGGGAGGGGCGCAGCTGAAAAGCTACTTTAATTTTACAACTTGACAAATTGAATGTTTGCAGAGTGGGAAAAGCGTAACGATAAAGGAGACATTTAAACTGGGAAAAATATCAGGTAAGGTTTGTATTTTGGAATATATTTTTAAAATATACTAAGATATAATAAATATTAAATTGATATAAGATTTTCAATATTTCAAATATGATATTTAAAAAATATTATATTCCATATTCAACTTTCCTGAAATCAACCTAATAAAATTAGAAAAACAGGTTGGCAGAGCTCAGAATTCCACTTCTTATGAGGTATATCGTTTTTCACGGTGCACAATCAGCTGCATTTAAACAATAGGAATGCAAGGGGGCCAAGAAAAATGGGGCTTACAAAGGGTAGCCAAGGCAACCCGTTTGAGGGGCCTTCGCTTTGGAATTCTCTTGGAATTATTTCTATTTCGGACATGGCTAGGAATCTCTGGCAGTCATAACGATAATTGACAATCTGGCCAAGTCAAATTAACATTGCCAGAGGTCAAATTGCATTTGCTCAGGGAATTTCTGATTGCTTCCGTTTTTTTTTCCGCCAGTTCGACCTATTGTTATTGTATATCTGTGAAATCCCCCTGCCTGAAAATAAAACATACATAGGTAAACAAAGCTCTATTAGGAATGCAATGCACGCAACGCAAAGCGGCCATAAAGACGTTTGGGCCAAAAGCAGCAGCCAAATTAAAACGGGCCAGAAGCAGTAGCCAAAATATAAAAAAAACAACAACAGAAAATAAGCAGACGTGCCACGGTCAAGAGTGACTTCTAACCCACCGCCCACCGCCCCTTTTCGTGGGCCACCCACTCGGATAGTAAAGCCAAAAGTCAACTAAGGTTTTACTATAAAAGCCAGGGCTTTTGCGAGTGTTTAATCATATCAGTTTCTGTTCAATCAGCGGAAATACAACCAACAAACAATCAATCCAAGATGTTCAAGTTTGTGAGTATCTAAGGGATCCTAACTCTTTGCACATAAAGGATAAAAAAATGTATAGTGCCTGCCAATAAATAAAATCATAAGGAAATATTGTGTTAAAAATTAAAATCATTTCGGATAAAAGAACCATCTTAAATACAGAATAACAATTTTATTTTAATAATAAAAGTATTTTCCTAACTAGTTTTTAAAAGAGATTAGAATTTGTCTTTTACAAATTGAATTTCTCCTATTTTATGATATAAAATGAAGGATATTTATAATACATATAAAGGATAATAAGTTATATATTGCCTTCCAAAAAAGAAAATATAAGCAAATATTTAGCTAACAATTAAAATCATTTGGGATTAAAACAACTAATAAATTTCCTTTAATATATAAAATATTTTGCTCATAAAGTACTTAAAAAGATTAAATTTTTATCATTTAGTACTAACATCAACCTATTTTATAAGTGATGTGGAATAGTTTAGGCTTTTTCATATTTAGATTGATGTTCTATGTGATCTTTAAGTCTTTTATTGTTAATCCTGGTCCATTATTACTCCTTAGGCTTCAATTAGTATCCTTGACTAATCAAATCCCCCTTTCCCCCAACTTTCCCACCAGTTCGCTCTGTGCCTGTTCGCCCTGTTGGCCGTTGCCTGTGGCAAGCCGCAATTCCTGACCGCCTACAGTGCGGCCTCCCCCTTGGTGGCTGCCTCGCCCTACGCCTACTCCAGTGGACTCTACGCCTCTCCGTACAGTGCGGCCTACACCAGCGGCGTCTATGCCTCGCCCTACGCCTACGGTGCCTACAGCCCCTACAGCAGCGCCTACTACCTGAGACGTTGAAGCGGGTGAACACTGTACTACGATAATTCCCGATGACGACGACCTAATGAACAAATAAACCTGATAAAACAGATAAAGATTCACAGACCAAAGGCCAGCTATTTGCTGTCATTTGCTTTGAGCAACTGCAGATTAAAAGGGGGCTAAAAAATGGGAGTGGCCAGGCCCCACACTCAAAAAAATAGCACTTGTTAAATAATATTGCACTTATAAACACACTGAAAAGATACACAAAAAAATTGAAAACAATCTTTGACCACAATAAATGACCAAAAAAATTTTAAACAGTAATAAATTTGTATTCATATTTTATTCATTTTCAATTAAAAAATTGAACTTTAGAATAGAGCGAAAAATAGGATAGAATCATACAATTTTTAAACTAAACCTTTGATGAAAAATGTTTATGTACAATTTTCTTTCCAAAACAAAAATTTTTCTAATTTAAAAAGATAAATATTTTTCAATAAATGGGACTTTGTAGAATAATTGAAACAATTTTTGTTGCTTTTAAAATAAGCCAAATTTATCCAACAATTCTATGAACATTGCAAATTCTTTAAAAAAATTGAAAAAAAATAGTTTTCTTTATTTAATCTATAGTGACATATGTTTGGTAATTTTTTTTCGCAGTGTATAGTGTTTGTGAAAGCAAAAGAGGCGTATTTTAAAATATTTACGAATTTGTTGCTGTCGTTGTTGCCGGTTTTGCTTGGCAATTTCCGTTAGCTATCAAAAACATTCGCTTTGCCTCGTATATCATGTTTCATGTGGCAAAACGGGGGTTTTCGGGTAGCTTTGCGGGCTTTCCAAAAGGGGGTGGCAAAGGGGGCAGGGCCCAGGGGTCGGGGGTCAACTGTCGCTGGCATGCGTCGGCGTGCATTTGCATCGCTGCTAAAATGTGCAAATTATGGCAACTAAGTTGCCTTATGTTGTCCCAAGCACGGAATGGGTTAAGTGTAATGCACTCAAAAAAATCACAAAAATATTATTTTTTTACTATTTGAAAATAAATATTATTTGAGAAAAACAAATGAAAATTAAAGATATAGAGTTAAAACACCACAAATGGTTTAAAGGACAACAAAAAGGTCTGTGTTTATCAAGACTTCCTCAGAAATGACTAAAAATGTTGCAATTATTTATTTAGGTGCCCAAAAGTATGCAACAATATATTTTAAATGGGGCTTTTCATCCCATTAAAGACGGCCTTTATTTTCACAGCATACTTATAGGCACCTTTAGAAGTAATATTGTTCTAAGTCATTGTAATTTGCTGTAATATCGACTTAGATCGTATTTTTTAATAGAATATATGTTTAGGGTACGGAAAAAATTTCAAAATGTTTATGATTGCTTGAAAAATATGATGAAAAATTTTAAAATCAGTTTAAAAATTATGAAAAACTCAAAAAAATCCTTTGGAGTGTAGGGAGTGGCTGGGACTTTCTTTGAGCTTCTGATTCACTTTCCCCGCTGCCACCTTAGCACACATCCCTGCATTTCCTGCTCACACTTTCCCTGCCTTTCTCTTTCCCTTTCTAGTCCTATTTCTCATTTTCAGACGTCAGCTTCAGTGTCGCCATTTGCATAATGCATGTGTGCTAGTGCGCTACTGTGCAAGTGTTTGCAGCATCCTTTCAGGCGCAATTGTGCACCGTGGTCCTGCGAAAAAAGAGCATCAAAATGCATATGGAAATTGGCCCGAAATGAAAAATATGTGCAACATCCTGAATAAATGCATTTAGATAAGGCGAATGTGGTTAAATGTTGAATAATGTTCATGCTAATGTTGTTTTCCACTTGATTGGCCTAAAGGAGAAGGCATTCCACAGTGGAATAATGCGGTAAATCATAAATAATGTAAATAAAATGAGTAGCAAATAAATCAACTAAAAAAGGGATATGGGGGAAAGCTAATGGCGAAGAAAAAATGAGCTTACATTATTTATAAGCATAAAATGTATTTGATCCTGTTAAAAAAAATACAGATAATAAAATGAAATTGGTAATATAATATTATAGCAATTAAATATGGACTTCATAACATTTAACCACATTAACCTCAACATTTTCTTATACCCCTGAAGTTAACCACATAATTCCCCGCCTTTAATGTCTACAATGTAGAAACAAAAATGGCAATCAACTTTTCACTTAACTTGCCATTAATTTGCCATTGTTTTCTTAGGACTTTGTCGCCCAAAGAACAAACAGAAACTGTTTTTCCAGGCCGCTACACCACTGTATATTTGCGGAGGGGAAAAGCGGTGGAAAAGCGGGAAAAATCTGTCATCAGCAGGGTGCCTACCTCAAAACTTCTATTTTTATTTTCTCTTTGAGCTTAGAACAAACTTTAAGATGTGCGTATATAAAAAAAGAGAATGAGGGAAATTTGGCAAAATCCAAATCTAATTTGCATCGTGGGGCGGATAATGGTAAGCCACAGAAGGCGGCGACTTGGAAAAGAAAGAACCCACGCACCACGCTTTTCCGAATTTTCCGCCCCCATGCATATCTTTTTCTCATACGCACACGCAGGGGAATGTCAAAAGTCATTGCATATTTTTCGGGAGAATTATTCCGAGGTACCTTTTCCACCCACGAACATACGTACATCCTTCGATTTTCCAGACTGGGTAGTCCATCAATGTCAAACTTACCTGTAAGAAAAGAAAAGAGCAGAAAAGGTGATGAGATAAAAGAGAATTCGTGGTTGGAGGAATGGCAGGAATAATTCAGGTTAAATAAAGTTAAGTGTTTGCATGGGCCCCTCAGGTAAATAACAATATCAAATGAGCCATCAGACAAGCTCGGAGAAGATGCGAATATCAGGTGCTCTTAACCGGAAAGGGGGAAATTTAGCTGAAGGTTATCTTAAATAAATAAGAAATTTATTTTTTAGAATCAGACTTAATTTGGTTTCTGATTGTGTTAATTCCAAATTCTTAAATATAATGTTTAGGAATATTTTTGCGTTCCCATGTTCAACTGAAAGTGAATTTAAATTAGCATTTTTAACCCTTACTTTAGTTTAACCTGCAGACGAAAAATCGGTCCTAAGCATAAAAACATTTATTTTGCTTTGAAAAAACATATGATTTCTTAAAATTACTTGGGGTGACACACCAATAACTATTAAATTGAATTTTTAATATCTAAAAGGAGGCAACAAATATTCCTAAAATTATATTAAAAAGAATTTCAGCAGCCTATAGAAGGTTTTTATAGTCTTCACTAAGAGACATATAAAAAAATGTATTTTTGATGATATATTTTCTCTCAGTGATTTCTCACAAATTTAAGTGTAAGCGAAATTCCCACTTCATTGGCCTTTTGAGCTGCCCACGCAATTTTTGTTCTTGAAATGTTTTGTTTTGTGGCCAACGAACTAAGTGAATGGCACGTCAAATCAAATTAAAATGAGCGTCAGCGTTTTCTTTGAAGAATGTAGATAATTAAATTTATCAACAGAGACAAAGAAGGATGATTAAACGTGTTTACAAAGAAACTTAATTTTAATTTACAGTACTTTTCATATAACTCAAGAATTCTTGAATAATTTAAAAATGGGATATTAAGTATTTAAACTGAAAACAATTAGTATTTTATTTTCAACGTCCTAAAAACATCCCTGTTTGATGGATTCCTGTACTTTCCAAGCCATAAGATAGCTTAAATTTCAAGTAAAACGTTTCCCTGGTTATAATTTATTATTAAATCATTGCGCCTATCAATTTTCGCCCCTGATTAATGATGGCCACAGGCGGGGATTCCAGGCAGACAAGCAATTAATTGCCGGACTATTAGCAGGACGAACAAAAGGAGCCAACAAAGAACTCAACAAGTGATTACACCAAGCTATCCTTTCTTCGAGGCTTCTTTTTTTTTGTTTGTTTTGTTGAGCTGGCAACATATTTAACCCCTCGAAACGGTAAGGATAAAGGATTCCGGGCGCCTTTTGTTCTCTTTCCCGGGAATATTAAAAATTCATTGCTCAAGTGTGAGTGTGGAAATGAACAACAGTTTTCAGCCAACCTCTGTTAAAAATGCAGGACAACAATTTCCGTTTCCTGTCGCCGGGACGATGTTTCAATCTCAATTGCTGTTGCTTTCGCTTGCGGAACATCCTGGCCCCAAAACAAAAAAAAAAAAAAACAAAGTAATACCCAAAATAATAAAAAGAAAAACGAAGGATAATGTCGGCCTATTAGCCAGGGACCAAATCAAAGTCCTGATGAGCTGGAAATCGTTTGGCGCTGACAGGACATCTCAATTGGCACTTCACTCTAGCCACCCTTATATCTCCTTCCCTTCGAATATCTCCCTCCTTCACTCTATATATAGAGATATCCTTTTTTGCTCCTATATTTCGCCGTTTTCTCTGATTACACACACACGCAAGATAGAGTCAAGTCTGGCGTTAAATTGAATCCGCGGCACAATTTTTTTCTTTACATTTCAGCGCGTTCAACGTGGCTTATAATCGATTTTCATTCAGTTTATCCACGAACAGTGTACACACATATGTATATGAATTTCTTTTATTTTTTCAGACTTGTAAATTTCCTCAGCCGTCGTTGGTAAAGGTTCGCGCTCAACTAAAACTAAAATCAATCGCAAACGCGCTCAAAATAAAGGAAAACTGTCACAATGACCATTGGTTGTTAAAAAGTACACTGGGGAAATTTATAAAAAACTTAATAAACAAAAAAAAATTTAGAGAATAGATATGAAACTAAAGTAAGATATGAACCTTATTAAAAATATTATTTAAAACTGATTTGGAATTTTGAAATTGTATTTATCAGTTTAGTAGATGATAAACAAAGCATAAAATACAGAATTTCCTTGGAGTGATTGGTTGGCTAGTCATTAAGTCAACGCGAAACGAAGCTTAGAAGGTCGTAAAAAAGAACAGAGCACCAAAACATAAAACCCACATAAATCAATAGTGGAAAAGGCATGAAAAAATGGCATGAGATGAGCACAAAATGGAAATGGTAACGAGTGCTAAATAAATTAAAACAGTAGCTAACTTTTAAGAACCAGAAGCAGCTACTATAATTTACCCTATAAAACTGTATATTGATAATTTTTATTAAAAGTTGTTGGCTTCTTCAAAGCTCTATAATATTAATATTATTAACATATTAGTTCCAAGTTAATCAAATTAAACTTTTCCTGACAGTACCTTCATCACAAAGT